GTCCTGGAATAACAATAAAACTTAGATTGTCTCATTAGTCATCGTTAGTCTCATTTATTATCAGTACAGTACAATAAACCTATATGGAATTTGTACATATGTGTATGTTTCTGAAGCTGTGCATGCATAAAACCCTTTGTTACATGCCGTTACTACGTTAACTTTGTACTCTTCAGTGGTGCTAAAGCGACGGTTCATACAAATATCTGTGAATCCTAATAAACCATGTTAGTGAAATGAGCTTGGTGGATTACAGAGAAATATCAAGCATAAAACCAAGCCTTGCAACCTCACTCTTTTACTCCATCATAATCCTGACATTTAAAGTCATGCACAAAGACACTGTGCATGCTAAGTGAAGTTAGCAGCTGTGTTGCACACCTAATGTAAGTGTTGGTGAACAGGACACATTAACAGCGTCTGAGAGAAGAGTGTTTTAAACACACAGGTGTGAGTGATGGATGGCAGCGAGAGGCCTTCTGTTCTGTATGAAGTGCTGTGTTGGAGCGGTGGATAGCAGGCTGATGAATGGTTAAAGGTCTTGTAGCTCCATCTATCAGGGACTAGCATTGACCTGTGAGACTCTCCGGCGGCCCCGGGCTCCTGCACCAGAACAAACGTCTGCATTAACATACATAGAGACCACAGGCTCTTCAGAGGCTAACGAGATCATATATTTGTGCTCCTCTGTGGGAATTTCGAATTAATTTGATTGTTTTAGCTGAGAGGAAGTGCACGCAGATATTGGCAGGGAATGTTGCATATATTGTGTGTGTGTTGGTCAAGATAGTACTAGAGTCAGCTGTCTTGAAGTACAAGTAGGGCTGGGCTCTATGGCCAATTTTTTTTTTTCTCCATATCATACTATATATTGATATTTATCAGGATATTCATTTACCTTTAAAGGGACAGTTCACCCAAGAATGAAAATTGTGTCATCATTTGCTGACCCTAGTTGTTCCAAACCTGTGTGTTTCTTTCTTCTGTTGAACACAAAAGAAGATATTTTGAAGAATGTTGGAAACCAAACAGTTGATGGTAGCCATTGACTTCCTGTGTATTTTTTTTCCTCCATACTATGGAAGTCAATGGCTACCGTCTATATACTATATACACTCTATATACACTCCTTAGGGGTAAAAAGGTACAAAAGTGTACCCTCCGAGTGACAGCTTTTGTACCTTTTTTTTTTCTTTTTTTTTTTTCCTGAGAGTGTTGAAAAAAATTAGCTTGTGTTGGTCAAGATAGTACTAGAGTCAGCTGTCTTGAAATACAAGTAGGGCTGGGCTCTATGGCCAATTTTTTTTTTTCTCCATATCATGCTATATATTGATATTTATCAGGATATTCATTTACCTTTAAAGGGACAGTTCACCCAAGAATGAAAATTGTGTCATCATTTGCTGACCCTAGTTGTTCCAAACCTGTGTGTTTCTTTCTTCTGTTGAACACAAAAGAAGATATTTTGAAGAATGTTGGAAACCAAACAGTTGATGGTAGCCATTGACTTCCTGTGTATTTTTTTTCCTCCATACTATGGAAGTCAATGGCTACCGTCTATATACTATATACACTCTATATACACTCCTTAGGGGTAAAAAGGTACAAAAGTGTACCCTCCGAGTGACAGCTTTTGTACCTTTTCTTTTTCTTTTTTTTTTTTTTCCTGAGAGTGTTGAAAAAATATTAGTACCTTTTGAAAAGGTACCACCCAGTGATTGTACCTTTTCTTTTTCTTTTTTTTTTTTTTTCCTGAGAGTGTTGAACAAAATTAGCTGCATTTAGTGTTTTCATTGCAACATTTTTTTCCAGATATTTGCCCCTTATGCTTTTCCATTTCCCTAAATTGATGATGAAATCAAAGGTGCCCTCTATTTCTTTATGTATGTGAACATGAACAGATGCAGAAAGCCACATGGCTGTGGTGTTTAATTCTTTCCCTCCCTCTTGATTGGCACTGATTCGTTCCATTTTAAACAGGCGTGTGAATAAAGAGGCATGACCGTCCTGCTATAGATGCGATGCTAAAGCGAGTGTGTTGATCATCCAGGCGAGCAGGAGTATGATTGCTGATTGCTCAGGGTTTTAATTATGGAAATCAGGAGCTCTTAAGAGTGCTCAGCTTTGAGCTATTTGCTAATGGTGAAAGTCATAAAAATAGTACATTGAGTTTTGTTGCACTACAGCCAGAGATTTGTTTAACACTTGTGGTTGTATACAGTAACATTTAACATAATGGAATTGAAAAACAATTTCTGCATTATAAGTACAGACAGCACATTTTATTGAAATTATAATGTCAAATTAATACATAACAAAAACGGGTAGCCCTTAAAAAGTAACAAATGTTCATTTGCTGTGAAAAAAAAAATCTCTCATACTTTTTTTTTTTTTTTCCAAATAAATGTGGGCTTATAGGGTCACTTCCCTTATTTACTGTTGCAGTCGAGGAGTATTTCTTGTTTTGTGTGTTGTGATGTTTTAAAGACCTTCATTAACTACCAAGATGTTGAGAACAAATTAATACATTTATGCTTTCCCCCATTTTTGTAAGACTGCTTTAAACATCTCTCAGGAAGCTTTTTTGTTGTTCTATGTATTATACAATTGGTTTAAAATATAGGTTGTGTGCTTTATCACTGCCACCTATTATTGGTTGTCGACTGACACATTGCAAAGGCCGATATATCGGCCGATATTTGGCGTTTTGTAGTTATCGGCATCGGCAAATAATGGAAGCAGCTTTTTATTCAGTTTTTTTTTTATCTCAACTTGTGAATTTCTCTAATTCTATAATAGAATTACGCAATCAAAAAGTTGCATCTAAAAAAAAAATCTTTACATTTTTTATTCATTTTTAATTTTTATAATTTTTTAATATATTATGTAAAATAAATATACATTTTATTTCAGCAATTGTTATGCATGTATTTTTACTATTTGTAAATTAAATAGTATGATATCATATGTATCGGCCACAGATATCAGCAGTCAAAAAATCCATATCAGCTTTTTGCATTGCTACATGCCATATTAACACATTTTTATGCTATTTTACACACTTCCGAAGCGAGATTAATTAAAAGGTCTCCTAGGCAGATTTTTTTTCCATTTAGCTGTTCTGTGTTTTTTTTTTTCTTTCTCTCCAGAAAACACATCCTCATCTTGTATTGCTGAAGCAGAAAAAGCTCTTGAAGCGGCAGGTGCTTGGGTTGGTTTCACCGTGCCACTCTTCAGTTGAAAAACCTTAAGTCAGACATTTTAATTACTTTGCAAGTTAATTTAATCAGTCTTGGTCACACTCATGGGTATCTTAGGAAATAATGAACTATACTAAATGTTAGAGTTTTCAGCTCAGCTCTACTTTTCTGTAATGTAGAGAAAGCGCATGGTTGCCAGGTTGGGAAGATTAAGTAAACCACGGGGCAAAAAAATGTGTCTAAGAGAAAAGCTCTGATTGGAGGATTTTAACTCTTGACATCTGGCAACTGCTACCATGAAAGCTTGTGGAGGCTTGTACCCAATGCAAGATAATGCAAATGCCAAATTAAAATGAAGCGTTTTCAATATAAATAACGAACAGGCAAACATCGCAGACAATTATTAAGCTTAGTAAATCGAGAGAAGCAGAAATCGTGATCGCGATTAAAATACGATTCATTGTGCAGCCCAACTAAACAAATGGATCTGCTCTAAAGTCTAAAGATGAATAGTGCTGATCGCTTCCTTTTTTTTTTTTTTTGGTCTATTTTTTTTTTCTCAAAAAACAAACCTTGTTCCCATCTTGTCCTCTTCACCTAAGGCTGGTTATAATGCTCTTTTCCTGAGC